TGTAAAAAATACAGTTCACTTAAGGACACAAACACACAATCTGTTATCAAAAAGAAGCATTCTAAGAAACTTCGTTCAGGGACTTTGCCAATGGGCCAGTGGCTAAGAATTTGCCTGCCAATTCAGGGGACACAGGTTGCATTCCTGGTCCCAGGAAATCTCGCATGCAGCTGGGCCCGCACGCCACAACTCCTGAACCCATGCATCGCAATTACTGAAGCCCACCTACCCTAGAGCCCGTGCTCCACAGCAAGAAAAATCACCTCAATGAGGAGCCCACAAACTACAACTAGAGAGTAGTCCCCACTCACCACAACTAGAGCAAGTCTGCACGCAGCAACAAGGACCCAACACAGCCAAAAAGAAATAGATAAATAACTAAATAAAAAGATTAAGTTTCTGATATTCTAAGAAAAAAGAAATTTCGTTCAAATTCCAGTCTTGTACTCACTCACGTAACAAAGAATTTACTTAATTAACTTTAAATTTAATAAATAATGACCACAAATACATTTTTTTTCTCAGTAAAATGTAATTTCATTCCTCATACCTTCTTTACTGAAAACACACATTCTACTTTCCTACTGTATACTGAGATGTTTCCATTTGCTCCTTTTAGCTTTAATTGCATGTTTAAATTAGAATACTCAACTTTTAAAAACATTAATTTCTAGTGAAAGCTAAGAAGTAAGCAATTAGGATCTGTCTTTTACATTAGCATTTTGTAGACTGGTGAACATAAACATCAGTGATAATTTCTAAAAACATTTGTTTTCTTATAGAGAACGTCTCAGTGGCACCTCTAGACATATTCATTACTAGTCCTAAATACCTTTCAGTTCAGTTCAGTCGCTCAGTCATGTCCGACTCTTTGCGACCCCATGAACCGCAGCACACCAGGCCTCCCTGTCCATCACAAACTCCCGGAATTTACTCAAACCCATGCCCATCGAGTTGGTGATGCCATCCAGCCATCGCATCTTCTGCCGTCCCCTTCTCCTCCTGCCCCCAATCCCTCCCAGCATCAGGGTCTTTTCCAATGAGTCATCCCTTTGCATGAGGTGGACAAAGTACTGGAGTTTCAGCTTCAGCATCAGTCCTTCCAACGAACACCCAGGACTTATCTCCTTTAGGATGAACTGGTTGGATCTCCTTGTAGTCCAAGGGACTTTCAAGAGTCTTCTCCAACACCACAGTTCAAAAGCATCAATTTTTCGGCGCTCAGCTTTCCTCACAGTCCAACTCTCACATCCATACATGACCACTGGAAAAACCATAGCCTTGACTAGACGGACCTTTATTGGCAAAGTAATGTCTCTGCTTTTAATATGCTCTCTAGGTTGGTCATAACTTTCCTTCCAAGGCATAAGCATCTTTTAATTTCATGGTTGCAGTCACCATCTGCAGTGATTTTGGAGCCCCCCAAAATAAAGTCTGACACTGTTTCCACTGTCTCCCCACCTATTTCCCATGAGGTGATGGGACCAGATGCCATGATCTTAGTTTTTTGAATGTTAAACTTTAAGCCAACTTTTTCACTCTCCTCTTTCACTTTCATCAAGAGGCTTTTTAGTTCCTCTTCACTTTCTACCATAAGGGTGGTGTCATCTGCATATCTGAGGTTATTGATATTTCTCCTGGCAATCTTGATTCCAGCCTGTGCTTCTTCCAGCCCAATTAAATTACCTTTAGTTTCTGTTTATTAATTGCTATCTCAGTATCTTTTTTTTTTAATGATCTAGATATTCAGCAAATTTCCATAACTTAAATTCATACAGCTCTAGAAGTCCAAGTTACCGAATTACCTAGAGAGATCATTTTGGGTAGACATTTCTAAAACATAGTTAATTTTAAAGAGTTTACACAAAAGCTATTTTTTTTCCTTTGGTTTTGGACAATTTTTTAAAAAGTCTTCATTGCATTTGTTACATATTGCTACTGTCTTAAGTTTTGATTTTTTTTGACCAAAGGCATGGGGGATCTTAGCTTACTGACCAGGGATTGAACCTGCACCCCCTGCGTTAGAAGGCCAAGTATCAACTGCTGGACCACCAGGAAAGTCCCAACCCAAAAAGCACTTATCTCATTTCCATTTACTTTAAAGTTTCATCATATCAAATGTTTTTCCTTGCAACAGATACAATAAGACTTTATTTGACTTTTATTAGAACTAAGTACAATAAAGTATTAAGCTTAATGTTGATGACTAAACATATGTCTAATTAGTTAGATCAACAAACTTTAATACTAGATAACAACTTAATATTAAATATTTCCTACTTCATGTGAACCTGAAAGTCATTTTGGTCAGTTTTTTTTTATATTTAATTTGTAAGCCCTTACTTTTAAATTGTGCTCTTTATAGATTCAATTTTGATAATACTTTTAAGAGGTATAATGTATACACAGGTACACATCACATCACAGGTATAATGTGTACACAGACATATTCATTCAGCTTCATCTTTGTGGGGCATTGGTTGGGGTTCTCCCCTTTTGGACTGATGGGGCATTGGTTGGGAATCTTCCTTTTTGAGACTAGGGAACTGTGACCCTGAGAGACTGATTTGAATTGTTTGCTTGATATTTGATAACACCAGCCATGAATAATTAAGTATGGATGATCAGAGCTCTGTTCCATCTTATAGTCCCTTGAGGTATTTTGGCAAAACTAAGAGATGCTCTCATTAATGAAAGAAAATGCCTCAGGATTCCCTAAGATCTTAAGAGCTAATGGCTCAGCTATTATATCGTAGTGAAAGCGAAAGTTGCTCAGTCTTGTCTGACTCTTTGCGACCCCATGGACTCTACAGTTTGTGGAATTCTCCAGGCCAGAATACTGGAGTGGGTAGGGTAGCCTTTCCCTTCTCCAGGGGATCTTCCCAAGCCAGGGATTGAACTCAGGTCTCATGCATTGCAGGCAGATTCTTTACCAGCTGAGCCACAAGGAAAGCCCAAGAATACTGGAGTGGGTAGCCTATCCTTTCTCCAGTGGATCTTCATGAACCAGGAATCAAACCAGGGTCTTGCTGCATTGCAGGCAGATTCTTTACCAACTGAGCTATCAAAGAAGCCCATTTAATAGGACCTTTTGCAATTACTTTTATCTTAGGGGAGTGTCTATGTACGTGAATGAGTATCTCATACTTGAGTCCAAATCCCTCACTCTATTCCTGGTTTTGATGAAAGTGGGACATGCAAATATGAGCAGATGATTACTACTATTTGTTTGTTTGAACAGAAGCAGATATTTGGTAACTGGAAAAAGAAGTTTCCTGAAAATAGCCCAAGATGGCTGGGTTTTGTATAAGCAGTTAGAGGCTGAATTTGCATTTCTCCTCTTGTGTCTTTGAGATGCAAATGATCTACCTGGGCTCTCTGGAGCTTATCTAATCAGTTTGTGTTACTTGGAACTAAAGGGGAAAAAAAGGATGCAGGAATAACATTTAAAACAACAACAACAACAAAAACCTCATAACTACTGGGAATGCTCCCTCTGCCAAACTTTAATTCATAAGCTTCCTAAGGGTTCATCAAGAATAAATAATAAACCTTAGTCATCCGAGCAAGCAACTTTAATGTATTCCTACTGTTCTTTGTAAGCTAGTAAGTTTATATTGGTGGGGCTTCCACCTGCCAATGCAGGAGAACTAAGAGACCTTGGTTAAATCCCTGGGTTGGTAAAATGCCCTGGAGGAGGAAATGGCAACCCATTCCAGTGTTCTTGCCTGGAAAATCCCATGGACAGAGGAGCCTGGCGGGCCACAGTCCATAGGGTCACAAATAGTACAGTGATTTAACACAGCACAAGTTTATACTGTAATACCCAATTCATAAGTGAGTTTTTTAAAGAGAAGCTATGAGAGCTCTATTATTGCTTGTTTACATGCTTACGTATGTATATACATATGAGATAGCTCTACCTCTGGAAAGTATTGTCAAAATTAAATTTATAAAGAGCTTTATTTAATTGACTTAATAGTAGGTGCTTACAAATTAAATGTAAAAGAAGCCAGACAAAATGAATTTCAAGTTCCCGTGAACTGGGAAATATTATATTAAGTTAATACCTGACATTAAGGTTAGTTTGTTTGTTGATCTAATTAATATAGGCATGTCTTTAGAATCATCAAGATAAGTATAATACTTTTACTACACCTAGGTTTAATAGAATTTATATAAAGTCTTATTATATCTGCTGCAAAGAAAAATAACTTGGTATGATGAAATTTTTGAGTGAATTAAATGCAATTGAGATAAGAGCTTTTAGGTAAACTCTATAGGAATACTTATGCTCTGAAAATTATTTAAAATAGTTGCTCCAGATTTTGGTAATAATTACTTGCCTCCTGATTTTCACTAGAAATTAAGATTTTTTAAGATTTGAGGATTCAAATTGAAATATGTAATTAAAACTACTAAAAATAATAAAGGAAACATTTTACTACAGTGGGAAAGTGGGATAAATGTTTTGAGTTAAAAAAAAGGAGTTTTATTAAACCTGAAAAAAAAAAAAAAGGAGTTTTATGCATGGTTGGGCTGAGATTAGATTAAACTTAATCAAGCTAATGGATTTTATTATTAAAAGTTTGGAATTCCCTGGCAGTTGAGTGTTAGGCACCTTCACTGCCAGGGCACAGGTTCCATCCCTGGTCCAGGAACTAAAATCCCACAAGGAACATGATGCAACAACAACAACAAAAAGAAGTTGACCAAGGAGCTGCCATGGGGTCCACACCAGACATGCCACCACTGCCTCCTGCCTCCCACACGAGGTCCAGAAAGGGACCAAGGGGTGGGGGTGGGAGTGGGGAAGTATCTAGAGAGGGCCTGGCAGATGTGCCTTAGTGGAGTAGCCCTGGACCCCCAGGGAACATGGGTGTGCTCCAGGCCAGACTGTGCCTGGACTTCATCCAGGACATGGTCCAGCTCCTGCAGAGTGGTGGGATCAAGACAGTGGTCAGCCTGGTTTCTGCAGAACTGGAGGAGGTAGCCCAGAAATGTGGCTTGTCTTACAGGTCTCCATCACCCTGAGGTGGGTGCTGCCGGCTCAGTTCTTCACTTTCCCCTTCAACGGTGCTGATCTGTACAAGGAACTGAAGGCCTCCACTGCCATCCTGTCCATTGGCATTGGAAGCCTGGACAAACTGCTTGATGCTTATCTCTATGATGGAGAAGTGACTGGAATCACAGGAGGCCCGGCTAGCAGTAAAACCCAGGTATGTCTTTGGGTGGCTGCACACGTGGCCCATGGCCTGCAACAGAATATCCTATACATCGATTCCAATGGCAGCCCCACAGCCTCCCGCCTCCTCTAGCTACTCAGGCCGGAACCCCGGATCAGGAAGAGCAGGCAGGAACTCTCCAGAGGATCCAGGTGGTGTGCTGCATTTGATAGCTTCCAAATGCCAAAGGTGCTGTAGGACCTTCCAGGTGCTGTGATTCAGCAGGCGAGCATTTCTTCAGGGACTCTGAAGGTGGTGGTTGTGGACTGTGTCCCTGTGGTGCTCATCCCACTTCTGGAAGGTTCACAGAGGGAATGCTTGGCCTTGACGCTGCAGCTGGCCCAAGAGCCGAAGACCGTGGCCCAGGACCTCAGCATGGCAGTGGCGCTGACCAGCCACCTGGCCTCAGACAGGGCCAGCAGGCAGCTCAAACCTGCCCTCAAATGCTCCTGGAGCTTTGTGCCCAGCGCCCGGCTTCTCCTAGACATTGGCCAAGGCGCAGGAGCCTCAGGCTGCCGGCGCCTGGCGTGTCTGACCACATCTCCTCGCCTGCCAACAGGTTTCCAAGAAACGGTGAACACTGGGGCCTGTGGGGCGCCAGAGCAGAGCCCAGCATTACAGGGACTTCACACATGACTGAGATGCTGATTGGAAAAGAGCGAGGTATCAAGGCCCTCACGTCCCCTGGGCAGTGCCGTTCATTGCCAGCAGCCCATGGGGCTGCAGAGAAGCTCTCAGGCTGAGCAGCCATCTCAGTCCTTAGCTCCTCTCTCCAGAAACAGTGTAACTGGCAAGGGAGGATGGTACATATCTATACATCTATATCTATAGGTAAGACTAGGATTGGCTGGTATGTTAAACTACATGGAAAGCATTGTCAAATGAGTGATAAGCCTCTTCAGATTATACATCATGCATAAATGATATTAATATAGGCATTCTAGAAATTACGTGAAGTTTCTGAAATTTGGATATGTCCTACTATAATGTTAAAATCTTTGTTGTTATCTTAAAATGTCAAATATCACAACACCGGGGATAAGCTGCTTTGTCAGGAAGCATTGTGATCAGATTTTTAACTTTGCCTTTCTAAGAACTTTATCATTCATAGACAGCTTAGCTGAGGCTTTGCAGAAATGCCACATCTTCAAGAAGAGTCATAGAAAGGACATTTTGAGAACAGGTGTCTGATGACTTTTAAATCATACTGCTAAACTAAGTAAGATATTTGAAAAGTCTAATGGAAACTCAGATTTCATAAAACTGTTAGTAAAAAGGATTAATGGATAGGACTGAGTAAAAATTTTTTGATTTTGCCTGAAATATCACTAGCTTTTAATCCATGTTTTCACAGATGTAAGGAAACCTTTCCCCTTAAATATAGTTATGACACAGTCATAAAGTTGAAATTAATAGATATGTATAGGAACTGGTCACAAAGAATCAGACACGACTAAGCAACTGAGCAACACAGTAGCATGGAAACTGGAGGCAAAAGCCTAAGTCCAGTTACAAATGACATAACACCAGGGCTAAGGGGTTCATCAGGTTAAAATAACTGTAGATAAAGAAGGAAGGAGAATTGCGCTATTTACAAAAGATTCTAAGGAATATTCCCTGCCCACAACTAATCAATTCCTTTCCACAATCACCCCTCACCACCCCTGTTCAGTAAAACTATCGTCACCCCTTTCCCACAAGACTGGATGGACATTGACAGTGGGGTATTGTAATAGGGAATAACAAATCTGACTCCATGTTAGATCTGTTTCTTTTGCTTTAACCTTTGTATTCTGTTGCATTTGCTACAAATTGATCACTAAAGGGATGTTGCCTATAGCTTAAAGTATACATAATGGCCCATCTCAGGGAATCTTGCTCCCATTCTTTTTTTTTTTTTTCCATTTATTTTTATTAGTTGGAGGCTAATTACTTCACATCATTGCAGTGGTTTTTGTCATACATTGAAATGAATTAGCCATGGATTTACATGTATTCCCCATCCCGGTCCCCCCTCCCACCTCCCTCTCCACCAGATCCCAACTCCCATTCTTGAATGTTACATTAAAATACCTTTGTTCAGCTCACAGGGAAGATCCTGACCTAGCCCACCTGTGAATGGCTGCAGAAAAGAAGAAATTAAAATTTCCCCTCCTGAGTCTGGTTGAAACTAGGAGATATTTGCAACAACTAATGACCTGCTTTACAAAAGTGTTGTTTCTTGCATTAACAAATAGGTAACTGAGCCTCTGATAAAATGGTGATATGCAGTTCCATTTGAGATCAATGATTTCAAGAGTGTAATTCTAGATATGGGAAGAAGCAACAGAGGGAATATTTTCGTGGACCAAAGGAAACTAGCAAGATAGGTGGTCCAGAGACTTTTGGCTAATGTTAATAAGGACTTGTCCAGTAATAGCACATTGAGTGGCCTTTAAGTGCAATCTTTGCCAACCTGGGAATGAGCATTCCTAGCATTAAGGGACAAAATGCTCATGAAATGCCCCCAAAACCATGGTCAAATTTATGACCATAAAGAAGCCCTGCCAACTAAAAATCGGCACTTGCTATCTACCTCTGTGAGGATTAAATCTTGAGCCACTGCTGCTGCTAAGCTTCAGTACCCACTGAAAGGAGTTCAGAGTGGAGATTAGGAATGAGGCGTCTGTGCTCTGGGAAAAAACTGGCAGAACAGGCCTTCAGATGGATACTTTTAGATTTTATGAGCCCAAATCCTTACATTTTCTCCTATCTAGATAAGCACTAAAATCGTTCGTTGCAACATCTGCTTTGGCCATTGAGGAGAGAAATGCATTTTGAAGTACAAATGGAGTGGCTGTTGTCTGCTGGTAAAAGCGAACAGGACCCTGTGGGGACCTCTGCCAGGTTTATGATTAACCTCCTTCTCTGAACCTTTACTCCTTTTCTTGTTCAAACCTTGTTCTCCTCACGATTGAGGAATAGCAAAGAAAGGGGGACAAGATGTACAGTAGGAAGGAAGTGAAGCTGAGTAGACAAAATAATAGATGTCCACTGTAGCATTCTATTAATATTCCATTGTTGGATCACTGAAGGGGAATGGAGCTTTCTTTAATTGGGCTTTTCTTATGTATCAGGCACAGTGCTAAGCATTTTTCATTTTTCATACATAATTTCCTTTAATTGCAACAATAACTATGAGGCAGGTGTTAATTTTAGATTCTGGAGTTGAGATTCAGAGAGGTTTAGTGATTTGTCCACATTTGCACAGCTAGTAAGTTGAAGAATAAAACCAAGAGCATTTTAATTCCGGAGCCCATCATAGTGACTACCATCCTATATTTCCTCCCATTCAGCTGACAAGATGTGTTGGCTTATGCTTCAGAAAAAAATAATCTCTGGAGTTTTGGTCAAGAGTACATGTAATCTATTAATATTCAAATTATGAATATAAAAATTCTCTTTGAATCAAGGACAAAAAAGCTGATATATTCTTCAGTATAAGGGCTGGATTTTGTTCAGTTTTATTTTCTTGTTAACATCTCATCTAGTGCCTCAGACATAGGGTATAGTGAAAGGCTTTCTAACTACACCTCAAAATGCTGATGGAATAAAAGATGGATAAATTTGACATAAACATAAAAATTTTTTTGCACAGCAGAAAACAATGTAGGTAAAGTCAAAGGACAAATGGCAAGCTGAGAAAAAGTATTTGCAACATATTTCAGATAAGGAGCTAAAATTTATAACATGCAAAGAACTTTTATAATTGAGCTTAGAAAGACCAATAATCCTGGGGGGGGGGATGTGCAGAAGACATGGACAGCCAGCTTACAGAAAGAGATGTAAAAATGACTCTTAAAACTTAGGACAAGATGCTCAGCTTCACTCTTAATAAAAGAAATACAACGAAAATTCCCTGAAACACCACTCCTACCCATCAGAGTGGCAACAATTCAAAACACTGACACCACAATCTGTTAGTCACTTGTGGGCGCTCCGATTGCTGGAGGGAATGCAAAATTGTATGGTCTCTATGGAGGGGGATTTGGCAACATCTAACAAAACTGCATACGTGCTTACCCTTTGATGCACGAATGCCACTTGTCAGAATTTACCCTGAAATACACTTCTAACAATATGAAAATACATGTGCATAAGGTTATTCAGCATTTGTTCAAGAATAGGAGACATGTCGAATAAACTATGGGCATCCACACAAAGGAATGCTATGCAGATAAACTTACATCACCAGTAAAGGACAGATGTACATTGTCTGCCTCCAGATGGGTTACCCTAAGAAGAGCACAGTATCACCTATTTAATATTCTGACCTAAAAATGCTTTAACATTTTCAGATTTGCATACCAATGAGTATGAGACCCTCCCTTCCCTGTGGATCCAAAAGCAGTTCCTGGAGGGTTTAGAGAGGAGCATCTTGTTTGTATTCATATGTGAAACAGAACTTACTTCTTCTGCAGTCTTCCCCCATCTCAAGACAAGGCAATACAAGCTTCCAGTTGTTCAGATCCAAAGATTTTATGCCTCAAATACCCACTTCTTGATAAACCATAAGGAAAACCTGAAATTGGAGTTAATCTTTTTGCATCGACATTTGACTTGGAGACCCTCTGCTCAGACCTCAGATTTGGGGGAAAGGACAAAGATCTGACAATAGGCAGATAACACCTACTTCAAACCAAATATTGGCACTTTCAATACAGTATAGCTGGTACCCCTTAAAAAGATCATGATATCATAATAAATTGAGTATTAGTTTAAGGAAATCCCTCATTTATTTCTCAGTGATATCTATAGCACCAGAAGCTCATTGGGTGAGGCAGAGAACTTCAAAGAGCAGGTAGCACAGTGATAGAGTCCACACTTCCCCTCACTTTCCACTGGCAGCAATCAGTTACATGGCCCCCACCTAACTGCAAGGGAGGCTGGGAAATGTAGTCTAGCTGTGTGCCCAGGAGGAGAAGGGAAGTGGTTTGGTGAACAACTAGCCAGTCTCTGCCTCCTTGGTGATATTAGATTGCAGATAATGTGTGTATATATGTCTATATAATAATGATAATAGATTACAGATAATGTCTTCCCTCCACATACTGATTCACTAATATGAATCTACAATTATCAAATATTATGTATACTTTGCAAATTACAATGAGTTGGTTTATTTTTAATTTATTAAATGGATGACCTACACGAAACTCCTGACAGTGTGGAAAACCCATTAAGGACACTAAGGATGCCAAATCTTAAGTAACATTGCACTCAAGCCATATCAAGCCGTTTCTCAGAAGTTTTGCCTGGTGATGGCAATGGAGAGGCTCCAAAAAGAAAGCTGGTGCCTGTAGTGAGGAATAAAATTAAGTGTTGCTGAAGCGTTTCTCAAGTGGTAGCTGATAACAACTGCACACCAGCTGTTCCCATTACAACACTTTTCCATAAAGACCCAGATTTCAGCTTTTGTCATTTTTTTTACCCTTTTCTTTCTATAATAGAATTTGTATATTTAACTTATACGGAGGCTCAAAAGTGAGCAAAGTAAGAAGGGATGCTCGGATTGGAAAACATAACTGTTTAACAAAATAAAAAGAAAAAATAAGAATAACAGAACTGTAGTCAGGGCGGGCATGATAGAAACAGCA